CCTTTTTATCGAGTCGATTTGCGGTTGAAAAGTTTCCTTGAGGAAAACCACTTTATAATCACTATTCCTGTTTCATTTCGAGCACATCGTATTTATTCAGCAAAGTAAATGTCTGGATTCCGGATTTTACATCTCGGGGGGATCGATGCAGGAGAATTGAATTACCAAATTCAATGTTAAGTTGTCGAGTTTTATTGTACTAATAGAGATTTGTGAAATTTACATGTTACAGAATTGTGAAAATTTTCTTTGTATAGATGATCAAAGATTGTTACTTTTTTACAAGATGGAAAAATATTCCGTTTTATCCCCATTCGTGTTCCTACAAGCGATTTACCTATTTTTTCAAACATATAATTCTATTATCGAAATGGTTTAAATAAATAAATAAAATAATTTGGAGAGAAGCTGTTATCCTCGCGCATCCGGCATTTTTCTGATTACTTTCAATCGTGTGCCTTCTTCGCGGATGTATAAATTCAATTTAAAAAGTCCATACGTAAAATAATAAATTTGGATCGAATGTCCGATAGGAATTCTCTTACGGTGGAAGTGTCTTCCGTTAATAAAACTCCTGAATTATACATTGCTGATCGTTTTTGGAGAATTTATGGTTGGTGTTTAGTATTTTACGAGCGTGGAGAATCTATCGCTTGTTCTATTTTGTTTTTAGCCTAATAAAATTTTAATCCCGTTTTTTCCTCAAAAGACTTTGTAAATAACGACTTTGAATTGAATGAAAGCTATGTAAAACAAACCGTTTCTCAAATTCCTTTGTATGAATGTTACTGGGAGAATTATTTGTGACGAACAATGGCTAAATTACACTTTTATACAGAAAGCTACTCTGAATAACGATTGTTGCGAAGTTTTAATATTTAGTTAGCGGAAAATTAAATATATTAAGTAATTAATTAAAGTGTTGTTAAATTGTTAATTGTCATTTAGTGGATCTTTAGACGTGAAACAGTTTTATTACTTGATTATTATTTCTTCAGGATCTGTTTAATGTATTAAGTTTTCGAACTTAAAGACAAGGCGTGAAAAATTTAGATTTTAGTTGCTATTATTAGACACAATACGCTTTTAAAGCCTTTGTAAGACCATTTTCGTAGCGAAGCAAAATTTAATAATGCTCATTTTTTAGTAAAGATATTGACTCAAATTATTTTAAAAATTATAACCGATTCACAATCAATTTAGCTAAATTCGTTTTCCTTTAACGCAATTTCCGCCTTGGGTAATTTTACATAAAATGTATAAAACACTCTAGTAGGTAGTGGGACAATATAAATGTCGCATCGATACTCGTACGCTCCTTCCAACGTAATGTAATTCCAAGTGCTCGAAATGCAATAGAACAAGAGAACCTAATTTAAACCGGTCTGCATATATATTTTTTCGTAAATCCCACGAGACTGAAATTTTTCCTCAAGAAAAGTCCGTTTATATTTGTTCAGATGATTCAGTTGGTCGAGTTTATTAAAGCGAGATTGTCTCTTCGAGGCGATTTTTATCAAAGATTGGTGCATCCCTCTGAAATGGCATCGCGGTCATAAATCGGAAATGATAATTTACGCTTTTCAGACTTAATCGTTGCTGAATTTGCGAGAAAATGGAGAAAATGTTTTAAGTTGAAAGCTGAAACGGATCCAGAATAACCAGAAGCGATACGGAGAAGGTGAATCCCGAGAAAGCGATGTTTGGGGTGAATTTCAAGTACACTTGCTGGAAGAGAATAAAACGGACGCACAAAAACGAAATTCTTAACAATAAAACTTTTTTAAACCCACAACAGAGTTTGTTTGTCGCGGAAACTGACCTAGCGGAATAATACAGGGATTAGGACAAGGTTGTTTATAATGCAAAGGATGACGCTGGAGTCGTGCTAATTTGATTTGGGAGTAATTGAGAAACTAATTATTTCTCTCCTGTGTTACTTACTAAGTAGTGTCCTTTCACATTTTTTATTGAATTCAGTTTTATCAGATTTATTTATAATAATATTCGTAAGAGAAAAACAAAAAAAAAAGGGAAAAACTATGTTTGCACTAAATTGTCATATTTAGGCAAGATTAAATTAAATCTACGGAAATTCACTCAAAGTTCAGTTACATATAATTAATGATTTTTTAATGATTGCTAACAATTATTTTGGTAACTCTAAATTTCTGAATTCACTTTTCAAGAGGCTAGCAGGAACAGATCGGCTGAGAAATTAGGAGATACAATATGTATTTATTTTAGTGTTTTAGCCATACTAGAGGAAAAAAAATAGAATTGAATATTATGTTATTGGAAAAAGAGAGTTTTTTAAAACAAAATGTTATAGGGTAGGCCATCTGTTGGTTTCTTTTTAAGATTGTTATTAAAACTACACTGCTTTTAGTTAAATGGCTGCCTCGGCTGACTTGGCAGTAGCCCATTCTCTTAACCCAATTTTGCAATACATTGTCGATTATTTGTCTCTATTTCACGAATAACTTGATGGATATTTTTTAAGTGCGTCAATAGTTTGTGGATCGTTGGAGTAACAACGGTCTTTAACAATTTTCCATAAAAAATAGTCCAACGGTGTCAAATCGTATTTCGACCAAAAATTTTTCTCAACTTTCGCACAGTTTTTGCAACACAGCTCTCGCTTCGAAAATAATTTATCAATATTTCCCAGCGTTGTTCAAGCGTAAAACATTTTTTTTAAACCGGACTATACAGGGCTTTCATTTCAAAAGGATCCAGTCTCAATAACTTTTGACATTGAGTAAATGTATTTTCAAACAAAAACAGGTCAATTAGGATCCCGAGGGGGAAGTTGAAAACCAACATTTTAAGTAGTCGCTAGCCACTTCAAAATTTTAAATGGCACCCTCTACTTTTTAGAACGTTTTCGGAAAGAGAAAAAATCAGCGTCTCCAAATGTTAAAGAAAAAATTTTTTTGTCGATTTGTTTTTCAGTTAGGGTTGGTTTACTTTTTGAAATTTTTAGTCTTAGTAGCCTTTGACTAAACAGGGTTGCGATGGGAGATTTAAAACCAACATTAAATACGTTTTAGGTTTCATCCCCTAGTCGCTAGCCACCCCTACTTTAGAATTTTAAACGGCACCCCCTACTTTTTGAAACATTTTCAGAAAGGGAATAAATGAGCGTATCTAACTGTCAAAGAAAAAAAAAATTGTCGATTCGTTTTTTAGTTAACGGTGGTTTAATTTTTGAAATTTTTAGTCCTAGTAGCCTTTGATTTAACTCAATTTAATTTAAATAAAAGTAATTTTTTAATTAACTGAACTGTCAAATGGTAAATTTTCGCTGAACTGTTGACACCACCGCCTTCTTAATAAAATGTATTAGATAACACATAATCAAAATCAAAGTTAAAGGCTACTAGGACTGATGGAAATTTCTAAAATCAAACTACCCCTAACTCAAAAACGAATCGACAAAATATTTTTTTTTCATTTACGATTGGATAAGCTTTTTTCCACTTCTTCCAAAAATGTTTCAAAAACTTGGATGGGCTCTTTAAAATTTTAAAGGGTGGTTAGTGACTAGGGGATGAAACCTAAAACGTATTTAATGTTGGTTTTAAACTCTCTCATCGCAACCCAAATCGACATTTTTTTATTTAAATTAAATTGAGTTCAATCAAAAGCTACTAGGACTGACAATTTCAAAAATAAAACCACCCCTAACTAAAAAACAAATCGACAAAAAAAAATTTTCTTTGACTTTTGGAAACGCTGATTTTTTCTCTTTCCGAAAAAAAAAATTAAAGTAGAGGTGGCTAGCGACTAGGGGATGAAACTTAAAATGTAACTAATGTTGGTTTTCAACTTCTCCCTCGGGATCCTAATCGACCTGTTTTATCTTGAAAATACATTTACTCAATGTCAAAAGTTATTGAGACTGGATCCTTTTGAAATGAAAGCTCTGTATACCTGTCAATATATCAGGCGCGTCACTGTTGCTAATGTGAAAATAACACGCACTTCAAAAAGAAACTAACAAATGGCCCACCCATTGCTTAAAAAAAAGCACATGCGTTAATTGTCGATTAACAGACGTGTTAGTTCTAGATTTTTTTCTTCTAGCTAGAATTAATAAACACTTTTAAAAATTGTTTGGTGCAATCCAAGTGTTATAATAACGAAAAAATAAAAAGTTACAACAATATTATTGCTTGTTTTAAATTCAAAAAAGTTTTGCTAATTTACTTTTTTATATTCTTTTAACAAAAAAAAAAAATATTTTTGTTATATTCAAAATTACTAATTTGTTTTTTTGCCAAGGTATGTTGCTTTTTCAAATTTTCTAGTAGTTAACTAAAAGTAAAGTATCTATTGAATATTGAATATTCGCTTATTTTTTTTAATAGCTTTTTTGTTTCTTTTATAAGGAACTTGACGATAATATTATTTAAACGACTTTCTTGTAGCTCGAAGCTATGTAAAACTACACGATAAACAATTTTTAACATTATGTTCTCGTCTGACTAGCAACTTCCTTCCGCTTATCGTAAAAATTTAACAAGGCGGAAATAATAGCAACTCATTCCTAGAAGCAAACGCAATACAGTATTAAGAAGATAAATCTTCATGTGTGCACAGTTCAGCTGAAATTCCCTCTTCGTTTTTTTTATTCAAGACAACTTGATTTATGTTTAGCTTTCAGGTAAATATTTATTTCAGTCATCCGTTTTTTGGCAGAAACTTTAACGGTCTCGCAATTTTTTCCATTTATTACATTAATCCAGCTTTTCGAGTGGTCCATATATTCCAGATGTGACGCAAACGCTTTAAAAGCTCGCATACATAACAAACGATAAGCCTCATAATCCGGTCTGGCGGCATATACCACTCGCTGATATTATCTCCATAATTAACTTGTAAATTCATAATTTTTGGTCGCATTAACTAATGAAAATGCTCGGAATGACGGACGTCATAATTAGGGATTGTCCCGGCGCATCCACCATTTTTCAAACACGTTTGTATTATTTCAGGTGTGTATCGTCCAAAAGAAAGATTCGAAGCAGATGTTCGCGATGAAGTACATGAATAAGCATCAATGTATGGAACGAGACGCCCTCAAGAACGTACTCAGAGAGGTGGAAATCCTGACGAGATTAGAACATCCCTTTCTTGTCAATATTTGGTTTTCATTTCAAGGTTGGTATAAGCAATTGACACGGGTCAGTCGATAACGAGTTTTTTAAAAGATGAAGAAGATCTCTTCATGGTGACGGATCTGCTCTTGGGAGGTGACTTGAGGTATCATATCCAACAAGAAGTGAATTTCTCGGAAGATGCTGTCAAATTGATGGTATGCGAGCTGGCTTTGGCACTGGATTATCTTCAGACAAAGCAGATAATACACAGGTGAGTTAAAAAGGTTTTTACAGGTGACACAAACCCCAAAAATTCACATTTTAATGTATCATACAGGGTGAATTAAACCTTACCGCTGTGCCATGAAGATAAAAAAAAAATATTATAATGATTTTGTCTAAATGAGTAAATAGTTATAAAAAAGTTTCTCTAGAGTTGGAGACTTTCTGCATCCTGTTTGTTGATTAATTACGAACGCAATCGATCAACGTCAATAAACAAATCACGAGCAAATATTTTGCGAATTGGAATTAACGAGCTTAATGATGGAAAAAGTGAACGGTTTAAAGTTCGCCGGAACAAATCTGTCGCCAGGGTGGAGGTCTGTATCGGAGCAAAGCGACGGCGAATAATGAACTTTGTGTAAACTTTCCAGTGGTGTATTAAGTTAGTGATGATATTTATCCCAGAGGTAATGTTTTGAAACGTGAACTGGTTTTTTACGATGTGTGGCGTACGTGTTTTGCTAAATGCGTGTAGAATAAATTCTGGATTACGTCGACGAAATAACTCATTATTTACAACAAGGGAAAATGAAAATTGCGTTTTCTTTTCTAATTACAATGGAAATGAATGTTTACGTTTGACTTGTTTTTGTCCCGGGGATTGTAATTTGGCGTCAAGGATGTATGCATTACAGGATATGAAAAATTTTTCTAGTAAAAAAATTGTAGTAAATCTCCTGGTCATGCAAAAATGAAATTTACTTAAATAAAGCTTTTGGAAAGTAAATGAAAATCATTATTTTATTGTAAACTGAAACTGATTCATCCGATTTCAGGAAATATAGATTCTTTTGTACACTAATTGCATTGACAATTGAAAAAGAATGAAACGTAGCAGCAGACGAAAGGATTAGTTAATTAATTATTCATACAACTAGTTAGAAAATGCCGAACATTATGTATTTATGTTGTGAAAGAAGTTGGGAAAAGACAAAATCTTATACAGGGTGATTCAAAAGAAACGGGTCATCTATTGAGTGGTGATAAAGGATCATGATTATTGACTTTAGTTAGCGGAAACGGTAAATTTTGCAACGTTAATCAGATAGGTACTTATTATCAAAAATCACCAATTTGTACCATATGGTGTAAAAATTTTTTTATTCAGAATCACCAATGTAATATGCCGATTACTAACCTTTTTAAGGTTAGGAAACACGTCATTATATCTCATGAGGAGTAATAATATTACTTCTCTTGGGCGGTGATATGCAGGAGAGCCAACGTTAAAATTACAAAAACACCGGGAATTTTTTCTTTCAAATTGTCAAGTTACGCATAATATTTTGCTAAATTACTAATTCAATTGCTTCTGTAGCAATTTTTCTCCATTTCAACTATTTTAATAACAGATTCACACATTATTTCAGTAATGTGCAAATGTAAAAGTAACTATAAACACTAGTGTGTCAGGAAAATAACGTAAGAGGTTGTGCGGATGGCTGTCTCCCCACTTATACGTTACGTCTTCTAGTTGAAATGAAATAGTTTTATTAATTAGACGAAAAAGGCGAATTCTTGCAGTGCTGCAAATTTCGTGGCCTTAACAAAAAATGGCTAACTTTGCGTATTGATTTCGATGTGTGAAGTTTGACCTCACATATTATTGTAGAAAAATTGTTTTTACTTGATCATTAACATGTCAAATTTCAATACACATATTTACATTTCATTACATAGCCGCTTATTGATTTACGGTGTATGACTAATGTGAGAGTAAAATTACTCTAGGTACTCTTTGTTAATTATCTGCAACTCTTATTATTTCAGATAAAAAAATACAAAGATCAAGACTTAAAAAATTAGTTTTTCTAATTTGCGTTTATAATACGTTTATTAACGTCTCCAGTAGGAGTCGTTTATGGCTATCTATAAAAGCACACTGTACTTTAATGAATTTAGGGTTATTTAGTTTTTGGATGTCGCTTCTGACTTGTCAGGTAACAAATTTTGCGTTGTTGCTTCGGCAATTTGGCGAATTTCGGGCGGAATGCAAAGTAAATTCTGTTTCTCATATTTTATTTATTATTATTATGTTGTAACACTAATAACTAATAATCTGTGAATTTTATTTTTGATGACAGGCGGCAGAAATGACTCAAAAAAACAGGTGGGCGCCGAGTGTTACCAACCGATACCAACTAACACAAAATTCTCTAGGCGACAAAAAAATATATTTTTTTAATTAAAATAAGAAAAAATGGCTCGCAAATTAGAAAAACTAGCATAAAATACTCATATTATAATGGCAACCCTTATAAAACTTGTTCTTTAATATACTATTATCGAAAACCTCGAAACCTACTTTAATTATTCCGAAACTGTTGGATATAGTTTGATGATAATGAATGTCACCTAGATAATTAAAGAGCTTTCACCTTTTCGTATCAGATAAACAAATATACAGTGTGTTACGGAATGGTTTAGTAAAAATTTTAAAGTAAGTACAGAATAGCAAATGAAATCGAAAAAGTAAAATTCGTGTATACCAAAAATGCATAGTTTTTGCAAATAATCGATTTGTAACTATGGTCCCAAATTTTGAAAACCGCTGATGTTGAAAATTAGCTTGCACTTTAAAATTATTGACAAGACAACAGATGTAAGTTTGCTTCTTGATCCAGTCGGTTATGGTTTGAGTTTCTGAGCCAATGCTCTAAACTCCAATGAGTATATTTTTTAAATTTAGATGAAAACTAGAAGACTTGTTGGTTAACTATTCTACAATTGAATATGCGGACATGGTCTTCGCGTATAGTGAATCCAACGACAGTAATGACTGCTGTGGTAGATACTCTGATTAACACTGAAGAAGTAGCCAGGACTTCCGTTTTAAACATTTGCTTTGATTTTTATTTTGGTTTTTAACTTTTTAGGTTTGTTGTTTGTTTTTTTCTGATTTAATTTCTTGTTTTGTATTTTCATGCGTTAAAGTTTATCAAATAATTCTTTCATTTCAATATGTTTTTTATTAAATTTTACAAAAAAAAAACAATAGCTGGGATTTTAACCTCCCTCACAAATGAATAAGCTTGCTAAACTTTCAAAAATACTCAAAACGTACATTCGAGTACCTGGGCTACTATAACTGTTTTGTGTTTTTTTTTAAGTTTGTTATCAAAGCTATTCATGAATGTTCGATTATGATCGAACCAAAGTTATTTATCTGACATTTGACACCTCGCTGGGCGTATTAAAAAGTGTGGTCCGTTCACAACACACTCACATCATCGACAACTATGACGCCAAATTTAAATAAACACCAGTTATAAGGTTATCATTAACTGTTAGTGAACTACCATAACTACAAAGTGACTCTAAACAGATGAGTAGATGATCGTTTCTAAAAAAAGTATACACTTTTTAGAAAAATGATATATAAGGATTTTCAACTCGTCTAAGCCTGACACATTCACATAAAAAAAATTTAACCATTCTGGTTTTCTTTTTGTACAAAACGAATAAATAGCCATTACACCCAAATAATAAAACAGTTAATTCTGGATTCTATAGTTACATGCATGCTCAATTTTTGTAGGATGTTTAATCAATACTATCATAAAACGTAATAAACAAATATCAAAATTTATAATAGTAATTAGTTATGTACACAACATTTACATAATATGATTAATTCATTACCGTTTAGATTTTAAACAAAAAGGAGTTGCATTTTTCATATGTTATAGAACACCAATCGATATAATAATAATTTAATATGCTACTATGCATATTAAATTGCATTTTACGGTTGCAATTAAGCAACCGTAAAATGTGTACGTTAATTTGAATTTGCATTATTTTAAATGCACAAAAATATTACATCTTTATAAAATGTCTTATTTGACTCAATATTAAACCATATAATATCCCATCGAAAATTCAATTCACCAATATTCTTGACAAAAAATCCTGATAAATTGCTTCGGAAACCTCTTCATTAAAACCACCGGACAATACTTTTACAGTTTGTAAACAGTAAAAAAAGCATTGTAAAAACCCTCGTTACGGCAACTATACGATATTGTTGCCTTTTAAATCACGTCTTTTTGGTATGTAACTCGACGTCTGGTTCGAAATATCGATCGTTTGATTAAAAATTCCAAGATGATCTGTACTAAAATCTGATACTTCGACTTCGGGGTAGCAAGCAAAAGCGACCACCGGAGGCGTAGATTTAATAATTTAGAAAGGAAGAAAAGTAGGCCAAAAATCCCAACCTAATGCACAGGTTGTATAACTTAGTGGAAGTCAGCATTGCTAATTCTTTTTTTCTGTGATAATTAATGAGTGGCGGATCGAAATTTTGTTAGTTACTTCAAATGGAGAAATGTAATTTAAACACGATCTGAATATCCAGTCTTTCAAATTAAGTTTAAAAATTACTTTGAAGGTGAAGCTCATGTTTAACTAACAACTTGAAAACTATTTATCGTAGAGAATTTTGACTTAAAAAACCATGTCTTTGGGCCGTTTTACAGCTAGGAAATCTAATTTCAGGATAGAATTTCCTAAAATGGAAGTAAACTTCTTTCTTGAGAAAATGTGCATTTGGGCCGAATGAAGATGTTTTCCATCGTAGCTGCAAGTCCGGTAGTTGTCGTAAGCTTTCATTTTCATCTCTTATGTTAACAGGGATTTTCCTGTTTTCCGAAGTCCCCGAAATATTTTGCATAGGGTTCCTACAAACTTACCCATTTGGCTTATCATTTTAACCGGAAATCTCCGGAACGCACTTTAATTAACAATTTCGGAATTTCTTGTAACTCTGGCTAATAGTTTTACCGTAATCTCCTCCCAATAATACTCCTACTTATTGTAATTCTGTTTTTTATTCCATGCAGAATTTGTGCAAAAAGTATACGTAACTCAATGTGTACGAATGAAAAACCTTTGGTCCCATCTTGAACTACGAGTACATTCCAAATTGTTTTAAAACTTATTTGGAAGAAAACAACCCATAATTAGCCGATTTCTTTAAATTGTGTTGATTTGATTTTCCTTTTTTAGAGATATCAAACCGGACAACATTCTACTGGACGAAGAAGGTAAGAGGTGTTAGTAATTCCACCCCCATTTCCATTAAAGCCTTAGGACTTTGAAGCATTATCTCACCCTCTAATGGCCTAATTTGCTGACAAGACGAAAGTAATTTTTACTTTTAGGTCACTTCCACATCACGGATTTTAACATTGCTACAGTTTTAGAAGATACTCATTTAGCGACATCTATGTCCGGAACTAAGCCATACATAGCACCGGAAATCTTCGACTGTGCGGTTGACTTATGCGTGGGATATTCTTATCCCGTCGATTGGTGGTCGTTGGGTAAACATTTGGCGAATATTTGGGAAATTTAATACCGGAGCGTTTCAGGTGTGGTAGCTTATGAAATGTTGAGAGGCATGAGACCGTTTGATATTCACTCCAATACTGGCATACAAGAAGTGAGAATCTTATTCCAAATCGGATTAGATTACCCGTCGAGTTGGAGCGAAGGGATCATTGATTTAATTTCAAGGGTAAATAATATTTTTCCCGGATTAGAAATTTTTTGTTTGTTTTTAGTTGTTGTGTATAAGTCCGGGCTTGAGGATTTCAAACATACAAGAACTCAAACAAGTCAAGTGCCTAAAGAAGTTTGATATGGAAAGAGTGTTTCAAAGGCAGTATAAGCCCCATTTTACACCACCTGTTAGTCGTTTTTTTATTAACGGTAAATATACATTAATTCTGAATTTCAGAAAGACCATTTGAATTGTGATCCAACTTTCGAACTCGAAGAAATGATCATAGAAACAAAACCCTTGCACAAAAAAAAGAAACGATTGGCAAAACAAAGATCAATAAGGGAGATTCAAGGAACGATGAGTATAGATTTGGTAAAATTTAATTTTTTGCGAGGCAAAGTTTTTGAACTTTTGTTTCAGGATGCCGATTCTCCGTTGGAGCTTCCAGGGACTATAATCCCCGACTTTAAGGTTTATAACAGGTATCAAGAGTTAGAAAAAAGGGAACGTGAAAGAAAGGAACAAGCATGGGAGAGGGAACTTGAGCTGGCCATGAGATCCTCTGATCCTTTAAAAGAAGAGACCGAACCTAAGGAAAAAATTCACAAATGTACAGGATGTCCGAAATTAGAAACAATGATTAATTCGAATTGTAAACTGAACTATGAAGATCGTGGAAGTAACATGAGTCAATTATCGTTACCTGACATGAAAAATGAAGACACTTCCGTTAACGACATTCAAAATAAATTGCAAAATATAGATTTCATTGATAGGACACCATCACCAGTAGAGAGAACTGAAGGAACTTAACTTTTTTATAACCAGTAAAAAATGTATTATATTTTATATTAAAATCCAATTTTGAAAAAAGGCTTTATTCTCTTTCTGTCCAACAAATTACACAAACCTTATAAAAATTAGTCTTTTCTTCTAGATTACAAAATCCAGGAACTAAAAACTTGTACTCAAAGGCAACCTAAAAACTCAAAAATAACTACTAAGGCAAATAATGGAAGCCAGATGGAAGATTTGTTTTCGCTTCAAACAGCTGTAACATCAGTCGTTTCAATTCTCGTAATTGGTTCCATAACTTTGACGCTCAAATTATTTGGAGATTCCGGGTTGAGTTTCAAAGTTTGAAGTATTTCGATAACATTATCGACAGCAAACGGTTTTTCTTCGACAATTTTGTCGGCTTCCTTCTTTACCGGCTTGGCATAATGCAAATAACAGAAGCCTTTATAGCCGCGCCATGTGATGTTGTTCGGCTTGATCCCGTGATCAATTAAAGCGTCTTTCAAGTGACGCACGCGGACGTTTTTGTCGATGTTGCTCACGACAAGGGAGAAATCGACTTGCTGGCGGCGGGGGTTGCGACGGAAGGGTCGGGGTTTCTTCTTCATAGGCGGTGTAACGTTGTTTTCCTTATTCCCCTTAAAGAAAATTATGTTACGTAACAAGAAAGTTTGTCGATGCAGCGATTATTAATCCAAATATTTAAAAGTAAAGAAAATAGAATTACCGGATCTTCGTTTTCGTTTGTTATTTTCGCAGACCTAGTCCTTCGGAAAAATCGCCTTTTTCGTGGCTTCTCGCTAGAATTTGTGATTCCATTTCGTTCTGCAAGATTCGGCTTTGGTCGTGATTTAGGGTACTTTCTAGGTTTTTCCTCACTTTCCACGTCGGTGTCTTCTTCTTTCAAAGTCGTATCTTTACCCTCACTTAAATCATTTTTATGAAAACGTGACATAACAAAAGAATTAGTGTTAGGGACTATGTGAACAGAGGGGTTAAAAACGGGTTTGCCTGCTAAACAAAATAAGAAAACGTCAAAACAAGACCACAGTTAGTATAAATTTAAAAGTTCTAGTACAACTAGTTTCTCCCTCTATATTTGTACGTAACGTAAAAGAAAAAAAAAAAAAACAAATCAATCTGCTGGATAAGCTTGTTGAAATTAATAATATTGAACTGTTGTTGTTCTGGTTCGGGTCTTAAGGCCGTCGTCTGTTGGAATTGCTTTACACCCGAACCAGAACAACAACAGTTCATCAACCGGCCGCGAAAGCCTTAACCAATTTATTAATAATATTACTTTACTATCGTGTGACATACAAAGTTTTTCACATACAATTTTATATTACCAAAGTTTGTGAAATATTGTGGTGATTAAAGTCCTTCAGATGGCAATCCTGATTTTTGACATCAAATGTCAGCGGAAACTTTGACAAGTTTGCGTTTTATTCTTTTAGAGTGAAATAATGTTCACTTTAGAGCAGAAATTTTTTATTGCTGTACAAGACGAAAACGGTGAATGGTCATTTTCACTTTCAGTTTGTGTGGAAAATTTCCAGCCAATGTCTTGCCAACTGTAAAATTTAATCGACGCCCACTCTAATTTTTGTTTTTTGATCGCACGGTATATCTAGCGATCAAATTAATTTGTAATCGAGTCATTCGCGGACGTGAATCTGTATGTCTTTTGCGATTGATATGCTTATTTGTGAGATCTAAAGTTACGTCATTTTAAAGACTTTTTTATTCGCACTCTTACATTTTTCTTGAAGATTCACTACATTTATACAAATTACAATAAAATTTTATTTTAGTTCTTAACTGACATCTTATTATTTCACGTTTGCAGTTCAAGCGTGCAGTTTAGATAACGACATAGACTTCAGATTCATGAATGACTCCATTACAAATTAATTTGATCGGTCGACAGTTACCGAGTAATGGGTATTTACACATACAGGGTGTTTCACACAACTTTACGAGGCTTGCGCCTAATGTACGCATCCAAATATACATAAGTCACAAAACAGTAGATAGAGCTTGTTCCAAATCTGGTGGCGAACTGACGTTGTCAAAAATGACTGAATTTTGACACTAAACATATGTTTACTATTAAAAAAAATATTGTTCATAGGCGTCGAACCAAATAATATTTCAAAACCACTGTTATTCTTTAAAAAATTACAATTAGTAGGTACTCATACATAAGATGAAGAATGATGAACAAATTATTAAATTGTTAACACATGAAAAGAATTTTCAAAAATGATATTTCCTAACAATCCTTGTCTTCAAAATTTTTAGAGAAAAAAAGTACGCCCATGTATTTTTTATGTTAGCCAAGTGGGCGCACTCCAAGTGTCTTTTCTGTCACTGTCAGTTCGCCACCAGATATGGAATAAGCTATATGAAAAATACTCATTTAATTATTTAATTTTTGGAAACCCATGACAGTAATTGTCAAACTAATCACTGTTTCATTAATAGTCATAAACTGCAGTTTTTTAAAAACAAACTAAAAACGTAATTTTTTAAAGGGTGAACAAACTAGAGAAGATTATCCAATTTTTCAAAATTTGTAATCGAGTTCCTATCGGAATGTGTATTATTGATTGCATCTTACAGGCGCAAGCCTCGTAAAATTATGTGAAACACCCTGTAGGTATTTAATAACAATTTACAATTTTACAATATAGCAATTCTGGAATTAAAATTCTAAGTAATCTCCGAACAGATACCATAAAACATCGTGTTTTAAATATGAAAAAGTTCCGATAACAAAAAGAAATCGTATTGATAACTATGTTTTTCTTACCTCTGGTGAATTTCTTTAATTTTCTGCAAAACGGGCATGAGATTGATTCTCCTTTGCGACAAAATATCCCAATAGATTCCGTCGGGTCTTGGCAATTTCTTCTCAACTTTGATAATTTGAGTCGGCGTCAAAATATAATCAAGAGGCACGTCATACTTTTTAAAAATGTCACTTGGCAAACTATCAAACACCTGAAATTTACACAAAAAATGACAAAACCCCTTAAAAATAGTGATGACAGACTTGTGAATCATGCACTGTCGTAACAATAGTAGTATCGTCATCGACAGCCTTCATCTCCTTAAGGATCGCGTATTCCAGATCGGCGTATCCTTTCCCCTTGCCGATCCTGCGGCCGTCCTTGGAGACAGCAACACTCCCCAGGACAAACAGATCAATGTGGAGACCATCCTCGAAATCCACCGACTTGCCCAAAGTCTCAATCCCCCATCGCGTGACAGTCTGCTTGACGTTTTTGGGCTTGTCGGCCTCACAAAACGCGATTTTTTTCAAAAGACCTTCCTGGAGTTTGGGTATAGGCACGTAGAGGGTTTTATCGTTTTCAATAACGAGAGTCCGCGACGCCTCCAGAGGCTTATCAGGGTTGACCTCGACCGATTTCGCATTTTTGAATTCCTCGAGCTCCAGAAGCCGGGCCGCGGCCTTATCAGCCCCCTTGAAATTGGGAATACGACCGAAAGCCGGCCGCGGAAAATTTACCAACTTGTTCTTTTCTAAATACTCCCAAACTTTTTTTCGAAAAGATTGCTTTGAATTTTCTTCAACTGAGGAAAATGCGCATTTTTCCTTGTACGAAATCAAGTGAAATGTAAGACTTACCGCATGGTTCTGGCGCCGATTGGGGCTTTTCACCCTCGCAGATGGTTTCTTCGGCACTCATTTCACAATGTTCATTCAAAAGTGTTACAAAAAATCACAATCACAGCAAGAACTACCCACTCTGAAATGTTTATCTTTTTCTTGGTTACCGACACATTTTGACGTTTCGTCAAGGACACAAGCCCGCTTCACAACAAACAAATAACACTTCACCTTTATTTCACTTTTAATTAAAAATTACATCAAAAATTGAATATTTGGGAGTGTATCTACAATACGCAACCTAAACTAATTTATTAACAATAAATTTATACAAAATTAAATCACAACCACTTTTAACGAATCGTTTGAGACATGTGAAGGGGAGTTAGCATCAATTCAAACGATGCATCCTTTAAATTAGCCCCTCTCAAGTTAGCTTCAAGCAAATCGCTACCTGACAAGTCGCAAAACTGGAACAGCCCCAAATTATTTCAAGAAATAGCCCACTTCAAATTACCTCCAAATCCGCCCCTGCTAAAACGGCCGCTCGGAGGTCACAGTTTTGTAAATTAGCGTTCTTTAAGGTAGCCACCCTTAGATTGACACCACCCATGTCGCTCCCTTCCAAATTCGCCCCTTTTAGGTTGACGCCCTCCATATTGGCTCTGCCCCCGGCCGGGTCTTTGAAATTTGAATTTTTCATACTAACGCCCTCTAGGTTGGCACAGAGGCATTTAACACCTAAAAGTTGGGCCCCATCCAAGTTTGCATAAGACAGGTCGGCTCTTTCCAGACAACAGTAACTCAAATTAGAGCCCGTGAGTTTGCAGCCTTGTAAATTAGCGTACTTGAAATTAATATATCGCAAATCCAATTTACTTAAATCAGCGCCTGATAAATTGACTCCTTGGAACCGTAATTCAGTAGTGTAGGCACTTCTGATTAAGGCGTCTATCACATCACGTCGAGTTAGGGGTAAATTGTCTCTATTTACATTCTGTTGGTTAATTATCTGTTCCAAGGTTGGGATTATTGACTCAATACCAAAAAATCGCGCCTCTTCTAGGATTCCTTCAGGGTTTATGTTACCATCATAAATTAATTGACCATTTCTTAAGTAATTAATTATAGGCTCAAAGTATAAAGGACTTCTATCAATTAGGAATGCTCCATTTTTGTCAATATTGCTTGGAGTGAACAAGTAACCATCTTCATCACCAGCAAACATCCTTGCTAACATACTGTCCGGTTCTTTGGTTGTTAGAGTGCTTTTAGACGTTGTGAAATACTTTCCACCAACATTCAGAGTTACCCAATCTGAACACTTCACTCTTTTTGTTGCATTTTTAGGAGGAGGTGTGAAGTCTTCACCATTTGATATGTACAAATTGTCATTATTGCGTATAAAAGAAATTTCGTTCACTTCAGTCCCGTCTTCGATAAATAAGCGACGGACTTTCGTATTAAATTTTAAATATGCCTGGCTCATTAACTCTTCCAAGGTTTGCGGAAGTATGAAAACCTAGAAAAAATTATTTTTAAACGTTAACACCACCTGTGACTAGTTTCCTACGTACCTCCCCGTTCGTGTTTGTTCCGTTTTTGAATATCACCACACGTTTTTCACTCATTCTCCTAAAAATTAAATTCTAACAAGAATTTGGAGAATTCAGGGAAATCGGAATGTTAGGTGTCAAGTGGCGTGACGTCACGAACTAGGGAGTTTGTTAGTGGCAACATTGACATTGAAATTTAATTTAAATTACAAAATACATACCATTTGTGCAATTAACCAGTGTTGCTTTTTTTAATTATATTTTTTATCAAACATTTGACGACTTCGCAGTTTTAGATTTTTTTTTTCTGTACGGATATTCAAAAAACATTACAATAATGATAGTAGTGTTGGGGAGTTTTCACTTTTAAAACCATAACCAGTGTTGTCATTGGCACAGTAACAGTTGTTGTGACAAGATCATTCGGCGTAATTCATTCGTTTATTGCAATTATTTGTGCAATAATTTAACAAAAACGCTACAAAATGGGTAAGGGCTTTAACAACTACATGTGTAAGAAGTTTTTCCACCCCGCTTCGAGGGACAACCTGAAGCGGGTTTGGATGGCTGAGCAAAAAGCGGAGGCTTACAAGAAGAAACAAGAGGAGCTGCGCCAACAATACGAGAAGGAGCAGGATTTGCACGATAACAAGGCAATGCTCAGTAAGGAAAGCAAAGACAAATTGAGTATTAATTTCATGTATGAGCCCCCACCTGGAGCCCGCAAGGAACGCGAGCGTGAGGATAACGAGCCTGAGTACAAGTTTGAGTGGCAGCGTAAATACAACGCCCCTCGTGAAAGTTACTGTAAAGGTGATCAGGAGATCAGAGATCAGCCTTTTGGGATACAAGTGAGGAATGTTAGGTGTATCAAGTGTCATAAATGGGGGCACATTAACACGGATAAGGAGTGTCCTATGTATAGTTTGTCAACTAGTGTGGCGAGGTCGCTTGAATCGGCTTCGATAATGGATCAGAAGTCCTTAGTTGAACAAATGAGGGAGGATGGGCTTGCAATTAAAAAGCAGTATTTGAGTAATACAGGAACTGCTAATTATGATTTAATTATTAATGAGGATGCTGATGAGAACTCAGTTGTGACCTTTATCAAGTCGTTGACGAAAAAGCAAAAGAAGGCGTTGTTGAAGAAGTTGGAGAAGATTGAAAAGGGGGGTAAGGATAAGAAGAATAAGAAAAGACGAGATTCAGATGAGACATCGTCAGATGAAGAGAGGAAGAAATCAGGGAAGAAGAAATTCAGAAGGAGGAATCACAGTACAAGCTCTGAGGAAGAATCCGAAGATGATAAAAAGAAACACAAGAAGAAGGAAAAACCATCAGAGTTTAAATTAATGTCTAAAGAAGAGAAAAAGGCATTGATTAAGTATGTTTTGATTTTAATTTTGAAATTTATTCTAACTATTTGATTTTAGGAAACTAGAAATTGTGGAGAAAGAGATCAGTAAAAGAAATGAAAAGAATGGAAGAAAAAACTCAGATGAGGACAAGTCAAACAGAGATAAGAAACATTCACGACATAACGATGATGATTACAGACGAGACAGAAAGCGAAAGTCTGATGATTTTCATTATGAAAATAGTAAAAGAAGGCGGTCTTAAGTTTTTGGTTTTTATCTTGGATAATTGTTTAGATTAGAATTGTTGTGATTATAGGGATTATCAAGAAACACACTTGTAATAATTTAATAGACATGTAAAAGATTTTTTTTTTAATAATAAAAATATTTATTAAGGATTTAATTAAATAATTATTTTGTAATTCCCGCTAATTTGCAAGTAGTATGTGATTTGTGGATTGGCTACATAAGCGCATGTGCACAATTTGACGCCATTTTGTAACGCAAGTTTGTCATTGATTTTCCTTGAAAGAGTGTTTTGAGCCAAAATTACTCAAAACAACAAGAATTAGTGTTTAAAAATGGAACAGATACCTAGGACCCATGAGGGTACGTCTTTTTTTGCCTTCAAGAGCTTATATAAATATTTTACTTTACTAGATATCGAAGCCCAAATTCGTGAAATTCAGTCTAAAAAGAAGGAAATTCCTGTCGAAGAGGAGAGAAATGAGAAGGGTGTAGGTTTAGGCGAGAGTGGCTACTTTGATAGTGAAATCTATGATGGGGGCGGCGGTAAGGGTAAATACGAAGGTTATGTGACCTCCATCGCCGCCAATGATGACGCTGATGAAGAGGACGATGATGTGGGTTATAGTCAGAAAAGGACCGGACTGGGGGCCCCTGTAGCTCTTCTCAATGATGTTGCTCAGGTAAGGGATGCAAATTAGTGAATTTTGAGATTATTAATTGCGTTGTTTAGAGCGACAAGGATTTTGATCCATTTGCTGACAAAAGGAGGCCCACGATTGCAGATAGAGAAGATGAATACAGACAAAAGAGGCGTCGGATGATTATTTCACCCGAACGTGTTGATCCGTTCGCTGACGGTGAGTAGTTGATTTCGTTTAAGTATTTATAGCTCATTTTTTTCCACTTGTTTATGTTTTATATGAAATTTGAGATAATGTTGTGTACTATTTATCTCAAGTTTTGTATGTTATTGGGGTATATGAAAGATAGCGAATGGATGCATGAGTGATGGCAAAAAACTCGAGAAAGTAGGCATAAAATTAAAATCAGTACAAAAAGACTAATTTGTTCTGTATTGGATTCCAACATTTAGGGGTGTCTTCCTAGAGAAGTAATCGCCGCGATTTTAGTGGATCACTTCCGTAAAATGTAACGTTGGTAAACGAAAACCTTACAAGAGTGAAAGAGTGTATGCAATGTATAGAAAATTATTAATTACCCCAGCCTATTTCTAGGTTCGATTTGACCAGTTGTATTGCAAGAAACTGCCTGATTTGTGATGGAGCACAATCACACGTACGTATCAAGATTTGTTCGCCAAATTCACTCCTTTTTCATTCTCCGAATATTCGAAAAATTAATAGTTTGAGTGAATTGTGGTGCAATCAAATCTTTTAATTATTTACTAAAGAACAGATACTAAATAGAAAAATCTGACCATTTTTTACAAACAAGTGCTTCTATTTACTAATTGGCGTTTTTCAACGCTGTTATGTTTACAGGTGGCAAAACACCAGACATCAATGCCCGCGGTTACACCCAGATTATGAAAGAGCAGATGCTCAAAGGAGAAGAAAATGAGGTCAGTATAAAAAAAATTATTGTTTAATCCAATTCTTTCTTTTTTTCGTAATTATTTCCGGCAAGGGAGTCCTTTGTTAACTCAAGGTTGATTTCTTTGACCACTTGTAATTTTGTTTTCAGTTGAGAAAGAAAATTCTGGAAAAATCCAAAGACGGCTCACTTAAATCAACAAACGGTGAGGTGAAAAGTGCACCCAAGAAAAGGGGGCGTTGGGATCAAACCGTAGACGAAGTCGTTGTTCCCAGCAAGAAGAAAACTCTGTCAGTAACGACTAACAGTGGAGCTGCTACCCCTATTTGGGATGCTGACGTAAGCAATTTATTATTTTTTTTGTACCAATTATTAATTGAAAATCACAGAAAACTCCAGCCGACCATCGCTGGGACGAAACCCCCGGCCACAAGGGCAGTGAAACTCCAGGAGCAACACCTGGTCAATCCACCCGTATTTGGGATGCGACTCCTGGAGCTGCAACTCCCGGTCGTGAAACTCCCGCCCATGACAAGAGTGCCAGTCGTCGTAACCGCTGGGATGAAACTCCCAAAACTGAGCGTGAAACTCCAGGACATTCGAGCGGCTGGGCTGAAACTCCGAGGACTGACCGGACTGGTGCTGATTTGAGTCACGAAACACCGACTCCGGGTGCGTCAAAACGCAGGTCTCGTTGGGATGAAACTCCTTCTCTTCAAACGCCGTCAGCGCACATGACTCCGGGTGCTATGACTCCACAAACGCCGCATGGAACACCGAGTCATGCAACTCCGATGTTGACTCCAGGCGGGTCGACTCCGGTGGGAGTGAAGGCGATGGCCATGGCGACGCCCACTCCGGGACATTTGGCGTCCATGACTCCAGAGCAGTTGCAAGCATATCGATGGGAGAGGGAGATTGATGAAAGAAATAGACCGTATTCAGATGAAGAGTTGGATGCTATGTTTCCACCAGGATATAAGATTTTGGCTCCTCCAGCTGGTTATATACCCATCAGGACCCCAGCGAGGAAATTGACGGCTACGCCTACACCCATGGTTAATACTCCCCAAGGATTTTTCATCCAACAGGAGGATAAAACGGCCAAATATATGGATAATCAGCCCAAGGGTCAGAATTTGCCGTTCATGAAACCAGAAGATGCACAGTATTTTGACAAATTATTGGTCGATGTTGATGAAGAAGCTTTGAGTCCTGAAGAACAGAAAGAAAGAAAAATTATGAAACTGCTCCTGAAGATTAAAAACGGAACCCCTCCAATGAGAAAAGCCGCTTTGAGGCAAATTACAGATAAGGCTCGCGAATTTGGTGCGGGGCCTCTATTTAACCAAATTTTACCTCTCTTGATGAGTCCAACTCTGGAAGACCAAGAACGTCATTTATTAGTCAAAGTTATAGACCGGATTTTGTACAAATTGGACGATTTGGTTCGTCCCTACGTCCACAAAATATTGGTAGTAATTGAGCCTTTACTTATTGACGAAGATTACTACGCGCGTGTTGAAGGCCGTGAAATTATCTCAAATTTGGCTAAAGCCGCCGGGTTGGCAACCATGATTTCGACCATGCGACCTGATATTGACAACATAGATGAATACGTCCGAAATACAACAGCTCGGGCGTTTGCCGTTGTCGCTTCGGCTTTGGGAATCCCCTCATTGTTACCGTTTTTGAAAGCTGTCTGTCGGTCGAAAAAATCATGGCAGGCCCGGCATACCGGAATTAAAATCGTCCAACAGATCGCCATTTTGATGGGGTGTGCCATTTTGCCACACTTGAAATCATTGGTTGAGATTATAGAGCACGGTTTGGTTGACGAGCAGCAAAAAGTTCGCACAATTACGGCATTGGGTATTGCGGCATTAGCCGAGGCTGCAACACCATATGGTATTGAGAGTTTTGATTCGGTGCTTAAACCTCTATGGAAAGGTATTAGAACGCATCGCGGGAAAGGTTTAGCTGCATTTTTGAAAGCTATTGGTTATTTGATTCCACTTATGGACGCTGAGTATGCTAATTATTACACAAGGGAAGTAATGTTGATTTTGATTCGAGAGTTTCAATCGCCGGATGAAGAAATGAAGAAGATTGTTCTAAAAGTGGTGAAGCAATGTTGCTCGACTGATGGTGTTGAGCCTCAATATATCAAAGAAGAAATTCTTCCACAGTTCTTCAAACATTTTTGGAATCACAGAATGGCTCTGGATAGGCGGAATTATCGTCAATTAGTCGACACAACTGTTGAAATTGCTAATAAAGTCGGCGCTTCTGAGATAATCAACCGAATTGTGGACGATTTGAAGGATGAGAATGAGCAGTATAGGAAAATGGTTATGGAGAGTATTGAAAAAATCATGGGTAATTTAGGAGCGGCCGATGTTGATTCGCGATTGGAGGAACAATTGATTGATGGCATTTTGTATGCTTTCCAAGAACAAACAACTGAGGATGTAGTCATGTTGAACGGTTTTGGTACCATCGTCAACCAATTAGGAAAAAGAGTCAAGGCTTACTTGCCCCAAATTTGCGGTACTATCCTTTGGAGACTGAACAATAAGTCGGCAAAAGTCCGTCAGCAAGCTGCTGATTTGATATCGCGAATCGCAGTCGTGATGAAGACTTGTCAAGAGGAGAAACTCATGGGTCACTTGGGGGTCGTACTGTACGAATATTTGGGTGAGGAGTACCCTGAAGTTTTAGGTTCGATTTTGGGTGCCTTAAAGGCTATTGTGAACGTCATCGGGATGACCAAAATGACTCCGCCTATTAAAGATTTACTTCCACGTTTGACTCCAATTTTGAAAAATCGACACGAGAAAGTACAAGAGAATTGTATCGATTTAGTTGGCCGGATTGCCGATAGAGGACCGGAGTATGTCTCTGCACGTGAATGGATGCGAATTTGTTTCGAGTTGCTGGAATTGTTGAAGGCACATAAAAAAGCAATTCGGCGCGCGACTGTCAACACTTTTGGTTACATTGCTAAAGCCATAGGTCCACACGACGTACTCGCCACCCTTTTGAATAATTTGAAAGTGCAAGAGCGTCAAAATAGGGTTTGCACGACTGTAGCTATAGCTATAGTCGCCGAGACGTGTTCGCCATTTACTGTTTTACCAGCTTTGATGAATGAGTACAGAGTTCCGGAATTGAATGTCCAAAATGGCGTTTTGAAGTCGCTTTCGTTCTTGTTTGAGTACATAGGAGAAATGGGAAAAGACTATATTTATGCTGTAGCACCCCTGCTCGAGGATGCGCTGATGGATAGGGATTTGGTGCACAGACAGACGGCTTGTGCGGCTATTAAACATATGGCCTTGGGTGTATATGGCTTCGGTTGTGAGGATGCCTTGATTCATCTGCTGAATTATGTGTGGCCAAATATATTCGAAACATCGCCACATTTAGTGCAAGCATTTATGGATGCTATTGAGGGCATGAGGGTGGCCTTAGGGCCAATTAAGATTTTGCAGTATACGTTACAGGTGAGTCCGGCTTTGAATGGTTGTAGATAGATGAGTTACTAATTGTGTTTGTTTCAGGGGTTGTTTCATCCAGCAAGAAAAGTAAGAGATGTTTATTGGAAGATTTATAATTCTTTGTATATTGGCGGACAAGATGCGCTAGTTGCCGGGTATCCCAGGATTGCAAATGATCCTAAAAATCAGTACATTAGATATGAAATGGATTATGTTTTGTAACTTTAATGTAGCAGGTGGCTTGTAAGGATATTACACTTTTTTAATTAATAATGAATGTTATTCTAATGAATAAATAAATATGTTTGAGTCCAAGATGTGTATATTTATTTAATATTCGTTACAAAAGGTTTTTACCGCTAGTTCCTTTCATTTTGAAAAGTACTCTTAAGCTGATAATACAGATAACTGTAATTGATTAAGTTGACTTTACACACCTACCTGTGCACCTAAATACTCTTATCAATCAGTATTATTTCTGAAATGGAATAATCACTATATAGCTCCTCTAAAGGCACGCGCTTCTTCATCCCCCTTTTTATCAGAAAATTTAAAGTTTTTTATTGCGCATGCGCATCTGTCAAAAATGTCAATCTTCCATGCTTGGCCTTTTTATTTATAAAAAAAATAATAATATGAAAACGTGCGAATTGTTATTGTTTCTTCTCCAAAATTGAACTCGTTTATAATGACCGAAGTCGCCAAAGTAACCGACGAAAATAACAACGAAAATAAGTCACTAATCGACTCTTTTGATAGGTGAGGGTGAGCCCATCACTTGTTGCATGCACTTCCTGTCGAACCCCTTCAAGCTTTTGGCTCCCTTTTGACCCGAATCCTAATGAGTCCCAATTAAGCCTGATAGTACAAAAATCAATGCTTTATCAGATGCGGGTAAGCATGAATAAAACACCCGCATAGTTACACATTTCATTGATTATTTGATAGAGACTGTAATGATTTAATCGCGTTTTTCAGCGAGCCAGGCTATTACTGCCAAGTGATTCGTTCGATGCTGACCCCAGGACACGAAACCGAACTTATCTATTGGTTAAAAAGCTTCGGTTTGATCCCCAACACTCAAATTTGCAATAACGCGAAAGTCAATGAACATTGTAACAAGATAATGGAGTGGATACCGGTCAAAACTATCGATTATTATCAGTGGAAGTGCAGGAATTGCAGAGGGAAGAAAAGCATCAGAGAAAATTCGGTTTTTCAAGATGTTAAATGTAACTTCAAGAATTCTATCAGGATTTTGCTGGGGTGGTGCAAGGGGTATGATGCGGAATTGATGGCCAACATCTTAGGTGAGATTCATAATTCAATTTATGATTTACTCAACTTGTAACAATTTATTCCTCTTGTTGTTTGCACAACAGATTTTGGATGACTGAGGTAAAATTTGTTTTAAAATAAATCAAACTTCGATTGTGAATAAAACAATTAATCAAATTGTTTGTTTAGGTGTTAAATCACGTACTGTCAAAGTTCTTTACAATGTGGTTTCTGCATCAGCAAGAAAACATTTAAAATCTCAACAAAACAAGAAGGTTGGGGGCCCTGGAGTCATCGTTTTAGTTGACACTTACCCTGAAGGTTGTACAAACAGCTCAAGGCCAAACCAAGCCAATCGACCCATATTATGTATCGCTGAAATAAAGGTAGTAACACGATTGTTTTATTTATTTTTGCAATCAATTAATATTTCCAGGACATTCCTCCAAATTATTGGTTTGAGGCCTTAAATCGGTACCACCGTAACAACGTCCAACAAATCATGGACGTAAAACAGCACATTTTAACCGTTGTCCAAGACGTCGTCCTCCCTGGCTCCATTCTAGTGTCCCGGCAAGATTCCACCTTATGTTCATTTTTTGATTTACAAAAATTGTCCCACATTTACCCAACTATAGTGAGCGTTGAAGGACTCGCCCGTCACAATTCGACCAATCAGGAAATTTTAGCAAACCTTGAAATTATATGGAAGCTGGCATTGAATGTGTGTGAGGAAGCTCAGTTTTTTAATTATGAACAAGTACCGAATTTTTTGATTAGTCAAATGTGGCATTCGCGATTTGGCAATGAATCGTTTGAAACACTCTTAAATCGTCTCGCTGACTTGCAATAATGGGTTTTTGTTTATCAATTTTTTTGAAGCAATAATTGTGTTTTATGTTTAGGTGCTTGTAGTTTGTTGTTTATATGATATTACATATCTGATATTTTACATCACGTCATGTTTCCGGTTTTTTTAAAGAAATTGTTGCAAAACACCAGATTTAAGTTTATGTAAAATTTTAAACATGTTATGATATTAGTGTTAGGTGTCTGAGTTGGAACAATAACTTTATATATAAAAACGTATATTTATTTTTGCAAAAAATACAACTTAATTATATGAAATAAATACAAACTAAAAACATTTTATTTCTGTGCAAATAAAGTATTGTAAATTGTATTACACAACTCTTCTTCATTGGAATATTCCACTTTGCCCTTTATTTCTGACAAATAATTTTCCAGGATTTCTTTAGCGTTGACTTTATTTTGTCTACATTCATTTATGGCAGCTGCGTTGTCTTCAATCAACTTCTGGATAAGTCCTAAGACGTGTTCATCACTTGCTTTAGGAGCTGAGATTAAAGAGAATAACACAGGAATGTATCCGACAAAAACGACTCGACTTTTAAAATCAGCTTGTGAACTGCACAAAGCCCTCAAAAGAAAACATATTTTGATATTAATTTTTTCCTCATTTCGTTTGAGGGCCTCTAGAAACACCTGAACCCCCTTATACTGTATAAACTGAGCACAAGCCCCAGTATTTTGCCTCACTATACAACTAATAGCATACAAGGCTTTCACTACCACTGAAACCTCAGGGTCTTGTTCCACAATCTCCACCAGTATTGGCATAATCCCATTTTCCAACACCACTCGTTGACAATAGGCGTTATTCTGACACAACTCCGCCAGCAAATTACACACTTGAGCCCTCACTTTGGGGCTTTTGCATTTAAGACACGGCGAGACAATCACAAAGCCACCAATTTTGTGAAAATCGTTCGCAGTGTCGATGTCACACACGAAATCCGATATCGTATCGAGGGCTGTTGTGTATTCACTGTCATCGTCATCGTCGTTGAGAGTGTCCACTTTCTCGAGGATTTTGATTTGTTTGAGTAACACTTCGATTACGTCAACTGTGAGCGAATTAAGAGCTTCTTCCAGAAATTTCCGGCGGGCTTCTTCCATGGGTTGGAAGTTGGACTCGTGGGGAGCGTCTTCCAGTTTGGTAGCTTCCATGGCAAATTTGAGGAGGCCTTGAAGGTTTGTGGGTTGCCGCGGTTGGGGTACGTCGCCGGTTTGGGGCTGTGGGGGTGGCGCACAGATTGCACCAGCAATTTGAGGCTGATTTTCCTGATTGCTAGCCATTTTAACTCACATTTGACACTAAAACCACTACGAGTGTACGTGCACTACGCTGGGATTTATAACTGAGTCAAGATTCACGAAAATCTCTCGAATGTTCTGGAGTTTAAGGTTATGGTTGGTAAGTTGTCAATGTCAAAATTAGTGTCAAGTGAATTTCAATCATGTAAAAAAAAGTTGGCCATACAAAAAACACATTACTCATTAAAATAATTAATTAATAATTAAGTGGGTGATATACAATAATCTTATTTATCAAATGTAATACCAAAAATTTGAATAAAGGAAACTAACTTTATACTTGAGGATCTGAAAAGTTGGTTGCATACCCTCTCGTTTTCTACATGATGAAATTGTTATTAATAAATTATCTTTTGGCATGTTATGCCAATATTGTAATAAAGGTTCAAAATGTTTTTGTAAATTCTGAATTTGGAAAAAAAAATGCAAAAAAGGTCCAGGTCTAGCTGTATTGATTGGGCTGTCACAAAGCTTCCACTCCTAGACGCGATCCCACTACTGAACGACACGGGGACTTTTGGCTGCTGGGTTTCCCCCCTGGCCCGGTTCGCCCCTCCTTAGCTGACCTGGACATCCCAGACTCCCCCAGGATGTCCATATCGATGCCGATCTTAGTGCGGACATCCAGTCAACGTGAATCGCTTTGCAACAGGACTCCCAACCTCAAACCATCCACTGAACCCGACCTCCAAGAAACTGGATTACAGGAGTGCGCCACGCTCCCAGTCGAAAGAAGCGGTGCTATATTGTCGATATAAGCTACATTTTTGGGGTCAAAATTGCAAGGATTAGGGATTACAAATGTGAAAATTAAGAATTTTAGACGTAATGAAGTAATTTGGAGAACAATAAACACAGATTTTCTACTGCTTCAACTAAAATAGATGAATTCTTTGTTGGTGTCGACCTTCAAATAATTTTGTTAAATATTTCTATTTCTGATGTTGACTGGAAATATTTCAGTGAAAGAATTTTAAGATGATGTCTGTGTCGTTTACCTTAAATCGTAAAATAACCTGTCTGGCCTTGCTATTTAATTTTAAACCTATAGAAAAGTAATTGAAAAATTGTGTTTACATGAAAGTAAAGATGATATACAACAAATTATCTTTTACCATGACTTTCAAAGTTTGAATTTCAGCTTGGTGACTACTATTAAATAACATGAAATTTTAGTCAACCATGCAGCATGAGAGAATAAAATAATAAAACTTGTGACTTGTGACATAAAGTTATTAACAAATAATACATGAATGAAGAATAAACGAGTTTCTACAACATTATTTTATTTTTTTATCCCCTGTTCGTGTCTTTTGACACATTTTACATAATTCACCAAATTTATTGGCACAAACGGGTCATCGTAGTAGAGAGAGAGAGTTTTCCCTCTTGAAAATTGTATGAATGAGGCATGTGAGCTTGAAAATATAATATAAAATATATAAAATATTACTGAGATTTTTATATACAGGTTGTGTACAAAACGTGCTTTATTATCTCATACACAAAAATTTATACCCTCAATACATCAATAACACTAGTTATAATTTTTTTATAGATTTTGAGGCAATGAGTTCAAAATAATTATTTAACAAAGTCCACCACGTCACGTTTAAGAAATACGTAATTAACAAAAATACAAAAATCGCCAAACAATAAATTGAAAATGAGTTGTAATTTTCAAAAACTTTTGTGCCGATATTTGAAAACATTTCAGATCTTGATGAAAACGCTTGTCCTCTTCGTCACTTAGAAAAAAAAAAGTCCAAATGCGAGTCACTGCTGACCCATTTAGACCCATCTGGTGATAATTTTGCAATAATTCAACAACAATTTGAATTTGAAATAAATTTTAAATCGGAGGCATTTGTGCAGAAAGGCAGAAAGCAGGAAAATTATCGTTCGAAACAAAAATTTAACTATTGTTTTTGTTCAATTAAAGGTAAATGAACATAAAAATAATAATTTGATTAAAGGTATATTTAACAAGTTATTATTTGTAAACTAGTGAATTACTCACATACTTGCAATAACAAAAAAAAACAAATTCATAAATAAGCTAATTACTTTACGATTCTCCTTCTGTAGTTATAATTAAAACTGAATCTAAACTGTCCAATATAATAATTTAATAAATATAACAAAATTTAATGTTTCAAATTTGTTTTTATTAAAATAGAAATTTTTATATTTTTATTGGAAAATTATCTTCGGTAATGTTTCCACATAATGAAACAGCCCTTTTGCATAAAGTTAATAAACATTTGTTTCAATTAATCTTTGCGTTTCCACATTTTTGCGACAAAATAGGTAAAATTGATTAATAGTGGTAGTGGAAAACGGATACCCTATTGCGGATCTAAAACAGTAGGTAATTAATAAGTCAAACCTTTTATTGAACGTCAAAATTAATTAAGTTTTTTCGTGTGTTTTATATTCCAAATTAGATTAAAGATTAAATCAAAAATGAGCAAAATAAATTTTGACATAATGTATTAATCAGATTTTTTCAGTACTCTTAACTGTGACATGCAGTTGCAATTTAAAAAATAATACATAACATAGCATACAAAAAATTCACAATAAATGTTATCAATTAAAACAAAAACATCCTTTATTATAAATAAAAACAAAAATATACAGGGCGATTCAATTACTAAATATATACAAAGCGAATTTGCACAGCTGCATTAGCACTACATTTTTTCCTTATTTATTTTCGCTACATCTACTCTGGCTACAAATAAGTGCATATGCAAACTACCCCAACAAGGACACCCTCCTAAGGGTTGCATTGATCAAAAAAGGACACCCTTCAATAACGTGTACAATCAATACAAAAATTCAATTCTACGCTTGCGCTTGTTGATTCTCCGCACTTCGAAAGCAGGAGAGTTGTGCACAGAGGGTCGTACGACTTTCCCACCCAAAAGCTTTTGCTGCTGCTGGAGTTGGTAGCGGCTGTTGACTACTCACCAACAATAAACGAGTGGAGTGGAACAGTTCGTTGTAGTCGTTAGTGCTCGTGGTTCGTGTTGTTGGTATCGTGTTATTCGTTGTGTTATTTATTATTTTTGTTTTAATTATTTTTCGCTTTTGGGCTCGATGCAAATACACCCTTGAGGCAAAACCAGACAAGGGTAAGCAGTTTTTAAATTTTTTTACAACTCGAAACAATAACGACCGAATTCTTTACACAATAATTTTATATGAAAAATTGTTCTGTTAATTACTTGTGTATTAAATCGATCGTTTTATCCGACCTTTTGCATTATTTGCCACTGGATATTTTAAAGAAATATGGACTGTTTGACATCCTTGAAAGTGAAATTTTTGTATTTACTTTACACACTCGTGTCATCAAATTATTCCAATGATAACTGAGTATTTTTGTCTCGTTTTTTTGTAACATGATAATCAGAGATGATAAACTCGAGTCTGACAAATGTTCGTATTATCTAAGATAAATCAAGTCAACACAGTTGTGGTCTCCTTGTTATTTTACATTTTTCTTTGTTTTCTTCTTTATGTTCTCATAAAAAATGATGGTCCTACATTTGATACGATTGTAACATTATGTAAATAACAAGAGGGTGAGGAAATCCATCAAAAAGGATAGTTTGAGTCTGTTCTGGGTATGTTTAGGGCCTTAGAGACGCCTGGTAACCATTTGGTAGTCTTGGGGTAGTGACGCAAACATTAGTTTAATTAAGTTCAAGTTGTCTGATTTAGATAATTGGATGATCAAGAGATGAGGAATTTTTAAATTTTTTGTTCGAGCAAATTGTGGGAATAATTAAGAAAATTGCTTTATCCTCAAGCAGTTAGCACATGGTTTAGTTTGTTTTTATTCTAATAACGGATTTAGCATTTATTTATTGTAAACGATTCTAATTTTATTGTCTTTTGTTTTTTTAAAAATCCAAAGATAAAAGCAATTTGTTTTTCAATGTCGTTCGAGTATTATTACTATTATTCATTAAAGGCTAAATTGTGGTAGGTTTCCATTAAAAAAAAAAAGTTACTATGTTTATCTCGTAAGTATAAACAATTAATTAATATTCAATTTTTTTTGAATAGCATTTTTATAGCCATTGCACACCTATAAATTTATTTGCCAAAAAATTTGATAGTTTCGCCAGAATAACATCGTTTCCAGACTTTTGAACCACCCTGTATTGACGTCAATATTATTACTATTATTCATTAAAGGCTATGCGATATTTTTGGAATTTGTATATTGTGAAAATTATTTTATTTATGCTTCGGTAAGTGCTTCCTGTTACCGATATTGTTTGAATATTTTGACGTCAATTCGGGGTGGTATTGATTATTCACAGCTGCTGTAACTATGTATTTACCTACCCATCCAACGCAACGGTGAATACTTACTTATATACAAAACAAAACAAATAAAAAAATAAAAAATAAAACAAATTAAATAATAAAATAAAAGTCGTGACACCATAAATTTTATTCTTCAATTATGTAACAATAAAAGACAAGATAAAACGTTTTAGTAGCATCTTTAATCTTGAGTTTCACCTACAATCGTTTAATACCTGTTAAAGATTTCGACTGAAAACTTATTATTCTTTATTTGACAAAGTTGGAAGTTTTTGCTAAAAATCATTTGTGCTTGGGATTTTGATATGAAATTGGTAACATTGAAGAATGTAGAGACAAGAATGATATGAAACTTTCAGAATCACAGGCCGCTTTGATTACAAACTGTTTTTCTTTATTTTTAAACTCAGGTGTAATTTCTGCTTATCCTATCTGGGATGGCATTTGTGATTAAACTTAATTTATTATTTTTAATGTTTAAGTACCTATGTCTTAAATTCTCCAATATGGAAATAAATCTCTAAACACAAAAAAGAAAAAAATATATTAAAAGTGTCCGTTATAAAAATATATTTTTTATTTTTATAAATAAAAAATTCAATAAGTATTTCACTGCACCAAGAAGCATTGTGTCATTCATGATCAAATTATAATTTGTTTCCCTTCTTTTTTTTCTAAAAGTCCGTTTTGGAAAAACACGTTTTATTTTCAATTAGGTAATTTAAATTTAGGTATATAAAATTTTTGTAATTGTTAATTTGGTACTATAAAAATTAAACAGGGTTCTGAAAACATTAAAAAAACTTATTTTATAGCCATAAGAACTATGTATAACCTTCAGAAATTCTACACACAGTCTAGAAACATTTACAAATAACTAGTTTACAACTTTCAAAGCTATTCCAGCCCTCAACCCTCATGAAACTATTTGAAAAGGTACGAATTTGCTTCCAGGTAAGGTAGATCGATTCGTAGTTACTGTTAGAAACCTGTCTGAAGCTCAATTATAATTTTTTTTTTTTCATTTACATATTCACCTACTTTGTTGTTGTCTTTTAAAATTATCACCATAAAAGGTTATTTCTCTTTGTAAACATTACAAAACTAAAAATATGACATTCCACTAACCTTGCTAATCCCCCTAAAACCCCAATTAGACATTTGTTACGGCATTGTTGACTCAAACGAAAGAAGCGATGCCCAAATGTCATGCCGCTTGCTCTCTTAAATTATTTTGATTATACGCTATAAGAATTACATTTTTTACTCGTGTACTAAAACAAAACACGATGAAACCTTTATTTGGTCAAGATTTCCTTTCTTAACTGTATTTCAATTTCATTGGCCATTAGCCTGGCATGCAAAGGGGCGTAAAAGACCACGAATAGTAATTAAAAAACAGGACTAAAAACCTAATTGTTTATTTAAGCTTCACTTAACTCGTTCTGTGAAGATAACTGTAATGTCAAACCAAAACTAAATACCAAAGCAGGTTATCTGTTATTAAAACTAATAAAATGGCCAAGCTTAATTAATGTGTAAAAATTCCCAAGTGAATTATTTTATGATTTCCCAGTAATAAATTCGGGAGCACTGAGGTCACATATTGATTACTCCTATGTTTCTGGTCTAAGGGCAAGGTCATATGTCCCCTGAAATAAATAAATTATGACAGCTTGAATGAATTGAGCCATAAAATTTAACTGTTGCCATGTGCGTGTATTACATTGGGGTAAGAATTAAAAGAGCTCCATTTTATCATCACACATGTTCGAAAGTCGAGCTTTTGTACACCGAAACAACCCTAAAATGTCTCCCCAACACCAGCAAGGGCTTGGAATCTAAATATTGAGTGTAAATATCCAAGATTTGGTGTTTTTGAAACGACCTTCCAAGGCAGGCGAGTCTGTGGTGCCTTCGGCAAGAAAGGTTGATGGCTTGGCATACATAGTTGAACTTTTGATTTTAATTAAGTGAAATAACAAAGTTGGTTTAGCATTTTGAATCAGAATTATGGGAATACAAGTGTTTGAAACAATCATCTTCCTTGTTTCATCACCGGAACTTGAGATAAACAGTCAAGAATTATTATGCAGAATGGCCATGCGATTCATAAATAAACTATCAAATACGGAAATAGATTCAGTTGAATGACCCAATGAAGGCTTTACTGCACCTGTGGTTTATTGTAAAACACGTGGTTGGAAAATAATCAATAGTGGGGAAGGGTTAGGGATTGTCAGGGAAGGTGTGGATATCCGTTTTAGTTGGTGATTTTAGAATTTTATAAAGCTTGCTTCACTAATGGAAAGAAAAGGTCCAAGATTCAATTTTAAAGTCGGATTATAACAAATTCAATGCATTTTGTAACTCTCTTTGTTATTTGATTATTACAAAACCCGGACAAATTTTAATGATTATATTTACATAACATTTTTTAAAATGTTTTTGATCGTAAACAAGCTAATTCCAGTAGAAATATTGTTGGAAAAATTGAACAGCACAATGTGTAGAGTTTTTAATTAGAGTGCCACATTACTTTTCCAACATAGATTCAAACCCTTTCTTTACATGAAATATTACCTAAATGTGGCTGATAATAATTAGTTGAGAATTTATTGGAAAAAGCTCACACTGAAACACGTATAATAAATTACTTCTTATTGCATGTCGTTAAGTGTATTTTATGTAAGTTTAATTTTGGCATAACACTCGTAATTTATTTATTTCAGTTATTCAAGATATTTTATTTTATGATGTCACGCGAATTTAATGATTTCTGACGGAGAATAACTCTGGTAATTATGAAAACAAGGTGTGACAGACATTTCGTTGGCTAGTTACTGTCATAAATGAAGAAGTTAAATGATCCACGATTTCACATTTGCAGAATAATAAATTAATAAATTAAGAATAATACATAATTCATAAGTTTATTTTTCGACACTGTCAAAATTTACGGTTTTTCTCCCGTGTAAGGAAGTTTTGACAACTGTTTGGCATTTCTCAATACGAAACGTCAAATTATTTTTAACAGATTTAAAGCAATTTTAAGCCTAGTTGAGTCTAATTCGAAGAATAAAATGTTGTATTCAACTCGTGTGAGTGTAAATCGGACGCTTTATCCCACTTCGTGGATAATAAACCATTCTTACACTCGGGGTTTAATAATCCTCTCGTGAAGTAAAGCGTCAGATTTACACTCAAACTCGTCGAACTATTTATGAAAAGCGGTTTGTAAGGTTTATGGTAACATTTATTTTTTTAGTATTACATACAATTGTTTACTAATGAGATAAATATTTCTAGAATACTAAAGGGAAACTTTGACCAAGTCTCAAAAGAAAACAAATGTTAACAAAGCAATAAACGTAATAAAAAATCAGAAAAACTTCTGAAACGATAACTTAGCTCATATTTTTGTTATCTATTTTATTTCGCATACCTTGTTTTGAAATAGGTTTTTCAGATTTTTTCAGGAAAATTTTACACAAACATTTGGGTTTCAAATTAGTTTTATATTTATTACCCGTACAAACCGTCGATTTACAAATTACTTCATATTTCTCTATTATATTCTAAAAAATGTTTTCATGTTTTGTCAGCTTATTGTGTCTCTACCTGCAGTGAAATATAGGCTTTTTATTGCTCACCTTTAGATATTATTAACATAATTATGTATATGTAATGGGTTTTTTTTTTTAATTTGGCGTCAAAGCTGTCCATGAAAGTCTCATTGTGAACGAACCATAGAATTGAAAGTTATTAATCTGACATTTGACCGGACGTATAA